AATAACCGATTAATTGACTATTATCAATTAAATATTTAATTGAACCAAATAATATTTATTGGAGTTAATTAAATGGTTCAATTCATATTTGCTTCAAATACTGAATTTATGGGTTCAAATACCATTTAATTGACTGGAATAAATATTATTTGATTCAAGTAAATATTTAATTGATCATAGTCAATTAATCGATTATTTGAATGAAATAAATTTTTTTTTCTGTGTAAAAAAAAGTAATCAAATAGTTATCAAATCGTAAAAAAAGAAGTAAACAGTAGGTTTTAGTAGATAAGTACGAAGCCTGAAATAGTGTAGAACTTGAGATTGTTTCTATGAAAATATTTCATTTTTCGTCATTTTAAAGTTAATGTGTTCAATATTCCATTATCAAAAAAATTGTAGACAAGCAAAAAATCACTTTTTTTTATAATTTTTACAATTATTTAAAAAAATTAAAAAACTATGACCATCTCCACCGGAATTATCTCATATCCTCGTGGAAAATTAGGCAAGTTTTGTTTATTGTTCAGTGCAGTGTATAAACATGAAAGTAAGGAAAAGAACAACATTGTAAAGATTCTCCATTTAGGAAATCAGGGTCAGAGAAAGAGGGAGGCAAAAGGCGGAATGGGCACGTGCCCGCGTACACAGGACGGATGACGATGCCTCGGGAAAAACTAGACTAGGCGTTTTTATGGGCCATCAAATTACACCGACCACCCCATAAAATGGTTAAGCGGGCTTCCGTGCAAGACTCTCCTCACAGCTACACCGTGGCTAATGTCCTTTCGCGAAACCTTACACAATACATATATATATATATATATATCATCTCAAGGGATATCATACGATTTCGAGTTTGAGATGTTTTAGAAAACTCATCATAGACACGTTAAAAGGTACCTGTAGGTGGAAACAGGAAGCGGGATAGTTCCCCACTTCCGCATAGTGCGGAAATAAAATATAGAACATATTTAATACTGTCCAGATCAAGCAGGTAAAATTTTTAGATTTTTGTTTATATTTACAGGAAAATAAATTTTTTTGATTTTAATAAACGATTATCTGTTTATTAAATAAATGTTTACTTGAATCAAAAAAATATTTACTTCAAGCAAAAAAATATTTGCTTGAATCAAAAAAATATTTACTTCAATCAAAAACATATTTAATTGAATCAAATAAATATTGAACTTGAATAAAAAAAAATATTTACTTGAATAAAATAAATATTTACTTGAATAAAATAAATATTTACTTGAATAAAATAAATATTTACTTGAATAAAAAAAATATTTACTTGAATAAAATAAATATTTACTTGAATAAAATAAATTTTTACTTGAATGAAATAAATTTTTACTTAAATGAAATAAATATTTACTTGAATAACAAATTATTTATTTGACGCAAATAAATATTTACTTGAATAAAATATATGTTTACTTGAATCAAGTAAAATTGAATATTGGAAATATTGAAATCAAATAAATTGCATTTGAAGCAATAATTTCGGTATTTATGATGCAAATAAAATGTAATTGACTCATAAAATTTACTTCATTCAGATGATTGATGACTCGTCTACTGTCAAATACACATTTACTTGAATCAAGTAAATTTGAACATTAAAAATATTCAGATGAAACAAATTGTATATTAGAAACAATAATTTCACTATTTGAAGGAAATAAAATTGAATTGACTCAAATAGAATTGAACTTTGATTCAAATAATTAATTACTTGCCTACTCGAATCAAATAAATTTGAATACGAAAAAAATTTAGATCAAACAATTTGTATTTGAATCAATAATTCCAGTATTTGAAGCAAATACAATTTAATTAATTCAAGACAAATTTATTTGATTCAAGTATGCGATTACGTGTCTAATATTAAATAAATATTTACTCGAGTCAAATAAATTTGAATATATTGAAAATAAATCAAATAAATTATATATTTGAAGCAATAATTTCACTATTTGAATCAATATTTTCAGAATCTGAAGCAAATAAAATTTACTTGATTCAGGTAATTTATATGATTTGTCTATATAAATATTTACTATAATCAAATAAGTTCAAATATTAAAAAATATTCAGATCAAATAGATTGTATGCAAAAAAATTATTGATTTTAATCAACAATTTTTTTGCATCAATTCGTTGTAATTTGATACTCTTTAAATTTGAATTATTAAAAATGCTATTATTAATTTAAATTTGTGGCTGACTTTTTCCTTATGATTTAGTCAATTTTACTAATAAATAGTAATTTCTACTAATTTACACATTATTTATTATTATTACTGACTTTTTGATTTTGAATTAGTAAATTTTACTAATAAATAGAAATTTCTACTAATTTGTTTTTTATTTAATATTATTACTGACTTTTTGCTTTTGAATTAGTAAATTTTGCTGATAAATAGTAATTTCTGCTAATTATAATTATAAATATTTACTAAATGTAATTAGTGACTGACTTTTTGCTTTTGAATTAGTAAATTTTGCTAATAAATATAGTAACTTCTACTAATTTATTACTGAAATTAACTAATTTAAAAACAAGAAGTCAGTCACAAATTCAAATTAGTAAATATTTTTTCTACTTCAAATTTAGAGAGTACTTTTAAATTAACAAGTATATTTCTCAAATCAATTCAAAATTATTTTTCTAATTCAATTCTAAAATTAATACCTGTAATTAGTGCGCTGCATTTGTCCATATTTGATAACATTTTACTTTTTTTTATTCCATATATATATATATATAGTAATTACACTTAGAGTTGCACCAATGTCCTTCGAAGTTATAAATGAAGAACAATTTCTCAAGCGCTCTTCATGACTAAGAGAGGGAAAAAAAATACCTAAGCAAAAAAGTCATGGCCATTTGCATAAATTATTAGGATGACTTCAGGCAATTTCAATGAAAAAAAAAAATATTTTAATTAGCAATAACGGTTTTTTTTTCTTTACACTGATATAGTTAGTTTCTCATTCAAATATAACTTAGATATTTTCAGATTGTTTTTCACTGAGAAAAAAGATTGCTAGTTATTACATTCGGATTTTTGATAAATAATAGAACTAATTAATTTATTTTATTGTCCTCCAAAAAATTCAGATTTGTTTGACTTAAGATTACTCTAGATTTCTCTGGGTGACTCTACATGTTACTTATTTTAGCATTTAGGCTTCAATGGGAGTCATAGTGACTTATAAGTGTCTCAAGGTTACTCTTATATGACTCATAACACCTGAATGGCTCCAGGTGGCTTCGGCTGACTTAAGCTGTTCTCTAGGTTACTCTAGGTATCTCTTATGGGACTCATAACTCCTGAGTGGCTCTAGGTGTCTCTAGGTGACTCTCATTGACTCCTAAGTTTCTCAAAGTGTCTTAAAGTGTTTCTTAAGTGTCTTAAGGTGTTCTCTAGTTGACTTTGGATGACTCTTATGTGACTCATAACTCCTGAGTGGCTTTAGGTGTCTCTAGGTGACTCTCATTGACTGCTAAGTGTCTCAAAATGTCTTAAAGTGTTCCTTAAGTGTCTTAAGGTGTTCTCTAGTAGACTTTGGATGACTCTTATGTGACTCATAACTCCTGAGTGGCTCTAGGTATCTTAAAATGTTCTCCAGGTGACTTATAACTCCTAAGTGGCTCTAGATATCTCTAGGTGACTCTAAGTTTCTTGAGGTGTTCTCTAGTTGACTTTTGAGTAACTTTTATGTGACTCATAACTCTTAAGTGACTCTTAATAACTCTAGGTGACTTTTGTTAACTTAGGGTAAGTCCTTAGTGACTCTAGGTGTCTCATAAGCTGTTCTCAAGGTCCCTTTAGGTAACTCTTATATGTGACTCATAACTCCTGAGTGACTCCAGGTGACTCTAGGTGACTTTAGGTGGTCATAAAGTGGCTCTAGGTAATTATCCTGTGACTCATAACTCCTGAGTGCCTCTAGGTATCCCTAGGCATCTGTAGGTCTCCCAAGGTGACTCAGGGAAATTCTTATGTGACTCAAAACCCCTGGGTGGCTCTAGATGTCTTAAAAGCTGTTGTCTAGGTTACTCTAAGAATCTCTTATGAGACTCAGATTCCTTGAGTGGCTCTAGATATCTCTAGGTGACTCTCATTGACTCCTGAGTGACTCTAAATGTTTCCAGGTGCTCTCTAGGTGTTTTGAGGTGTTCTTTTGTTGACTTTGAGTAACTTTTATGTGACTCATAACTCAGAAGTGACTCTTGATAACTATAGGTGTCTTTTGTTGACTTAGAGAAACTCCTTAGTGGTTCTAAAACCAATGTCTCAAGCTGTTCTCTAGGTTCCTCAAGGTATCTCAAGGTAACTCCTATGTGACTCATAACACCTGAGTGACTCTAGATATCTCTACTTGACTCCAGATGACTCTTGAGTGACTCTTGATATCTGTGGGTGTTCCCTAGGTGACTTTGGGTAACTTTTATGTGAATCATAACTATTGAGAAGCTCTGGGTGTCTTAAGGTTATTCTAATGTATTCTTATGGAACTCATAACTCCTGGGCGGCTCTAGGTATCTTTAGGTGTCTCTTGTTGACTTTGGGTAACTCTTGAAAGGCTCTAGGTGCTCTTAAGGTTTTCTTAAGTAACTCATAAGTCCTGAGTTTCTTTACATATCTCTAAATGACACCTGACTGGTTCTAGGTGACTTAAGGCGTTATCTAGGTCACCCATAGCTTCTGAGTGCCTCTAGATATCTCTAGGTGTCTCTAGGTGACTCTAGGTGATTCTTGACGACTCTAGGTGTCTCGAGGTGTTCTCTACTTGACTTTGGGTAACTCTTATGTGACTCAAAACCCAAAGTCAAGTAGCCAGAACCTAAAGACACTTAGAGTCACCTAGAGACACCTAGAGATATAAATAATAAAAAAATACTTTTACCCCCCTCCCCAAAAAATTCACATTCTTAATTTACAAAAGAATGAATATTAATTTAATCAAAAATTTGATTTTAGGTGGAAAATACAGTAGTCGACTGAGATATCTGGGGTTTTGGAAATTTGTATTCGAGTGACGTGGGGTGTGTTGTATCATCAGCTTAACAATGCGATTTGAATGTATCCTGGTGTGAACATTGACACCGGGAACCGGTGACATTGGCTACACGCGAACCAACCAATGAGAGGAGAGAGCACAGACTCTCATCATGATCCATCAGCAAAGGAAACAGCCAGAAGCGCAGGAAACGGGAAACGTGGTGGAAATTGAAAATGTGATGGACAACGGGGGTGAGGGGACAGATGGCGGCACCGGATATATATAGGGTGGAGCTGGAACCCTGCGGAAATTACGAAACTTGCGTTCGTATTCCCGGAGTAGTTCTCCTACGGATTAAACGTAGGTATTTCTCTCTTCAGATAAATCACTTTAATCCACATTTTAACATATATATCAATCGTTCACACATCAATCGGCTATATTTAACAATTATTCTCATACTAAATTGTTAGCTGTATTAATAAAATTGTTTTCGTAACTAAAATTGAGGCGAAATAAAGAAAAAAAATCGAAATTTCCTTTCTCGACCCAATTTAAAAATAAACTGTACAAAATTTATTTTATGTCCACAATTTTTTAATTTCGATTGTACTGCGATTTCTTTATTGAAATTAATATTCAACGTGATGAATATTAAATTTATAATTTAAAGGGATTGATTTTTAAAATATACATTTTATCACCATAAAAGTTAAATATCATAAATTCAATTACTAATATGTATAAAAATAATTTTTATTTATTAAATAAACGCTGTGTTAAATTTAATAATAAAAACAGAAAAAAAAGAATATCGTATAAATTTTTACATTGTCTTTTTACGATCCATGTTAACTTTTATGTACCGTTTATGGAAACGACTTCCTATGAGTTAAAAATTTCAAAAAAACATTCACGATATTTAAAAACTGATGAACTAATTAAATTTTAATTTGGAAAGTCATTTGTGGTTTTGTACAATTTTGTCCCTTTTTTCAAACTTATATTCTATTCACTTTCACAAATTTTATTCCTACTTTCTTTTGCCAATAAATAATTTTTTGCAAAGTTTTTTTTCATTTTTGACATGCCAATAATTTCTTCCTTACAATAGGAAGGAATATTCCTTTGGAATTTTATATTAAAACATAGGGAATATTTCATTGAAACATTGATATTATTCCTCTAGAATATTCTTCTCACATTTGTGAAATATTCCATTGGAATCTTAAGAATATTCCTCTGGAATATTCTATGGAAATATCGGGAATATTCGTGAAGAATATTCTATTTAAAAAATGGGTAAATTAATCTGGGATATTCTATTGATACATTCGGAATATTCATCTAGAATATTCCATTGAAACAATAAGATTATTTCTCTAGAATATTTCATTGGAACTCTGAAAATTTTCCTCTGGAATATCAGGAATGTTCGTCAGGAATATTCTATTAAAATATCAGGAATATTCGTTTGGAATATTCTATTAAAAAATTGGGAATATTAATCTAGAATATTCTAATGAAATAATATATTCTCATTTTAAGAATATTAAAATGTCCGACCTTTTTATTGTTTCTTTGAAATAATTAGAGTATAGGTGTGATACTCCTAAATGGAATATTCCTATAATATTTCAATTAAATGTTCCTACTACATTACAATAACATTATTTCAATGGCAAATTTCTATTTTATTTCAAAGAAATATTCCAAAATCGAATATTTTAATATTTCTAAAATGAGGATAGAATATTCCAAAGGAAAATTCCAAATGTTCCAATGGAATATTCCAGAAATATGATCGGAATATTCCGTGCTATTAGGGTAATCCATTTTGCATAACCATTGAAATAAATCTAATAATAATTTATTTTGAACTGAAAAAAATTCTTAATTTAAAAAGTAATATTTTGATGGAATATTCCTGTATTATTCCAAACGAATATTTTAAAGATCGGTCATTTTAATCCTTTAACGCCGGTAAGGATACATTTTTTAAAAAACATTTAAAACCATCGTTCGTTACGATTTTGTGTGTTAAAAAATTTTTAAAGTACTTTTCTTTATTCAGATTTTATTACTCTTTCAGAATTTGTCCCTTAAATTGCAGAAAAAAATTTATATCAAAAAAGTTGTGACCATTTTTTTTTTTGGTAAAAAGCAGGAAATTTTTTTGTAAAAATTCATATTTTTAGAGGGTACTTTGAAAATTTTGTTTGCTTATACGAAATCGTAACGAACGATGGTCTTAAAAGTTGTTTAAAAAATGCATCCATGTTAACTGATTCAATAAAAAAATTTAGATTCTAAGGGACATTGTTTTATTCAAACTGACATAACTTTTTGAAAAATTAGGCGATTTTAATTTCAATATAGTGAATTTTAAAGCATTTTTTGTGTACTTTTCAATTAAAAAACTCTTTAAAAAAAAAAAAAAATTTTTAACCCCTCTTTTTTAAAAATAAACCTTATTTTACAATTTTTACAGAAATTACTTCTTTTTTTTTAAAAAAAAAATTATTTAACCCCTCTTTTTCAAAAATAAACCTTATTTTACAATTTTTACAGAAATTACTTCTTCTTTCAAAAATAAACCTTATTTTACCTTATTTTACAATTTTTACAGAAATTACTTCTTTTTTCAAAAAAAAAGTTATTTAACCCCTCTTTTTCAAAAACAAACATTAGTTTACAATTTTTATTGAAACTACCTCTTCTTTTAATTTTTTATTATTTTCAGTGAAAAGCTAAGATTTTTTCAATATATTATGTACATTTTAAAAGTGTGACAACAATAGGTTTTCAATAAAATAAATAAAAAGTGTTCAAAAAGTTGATTTTTCTTTAAATTTTCTTGAAAATCCATTGTTGAACCACTTTTAAAATTTACATAATTTATTGGAAAAAAATTTCAGCTTTCTAATCAAAAATGATAAAAAAAATTGAAAATAGAGGCAATTTTTGTAAAAATTGAAAAATAAGGTTTATTTTTGAAAAAATAGGGGTTAAAATTTTTTATTTTTTGAAAGAAGAGTTTTTAAATTGAAAAGTACACAAAAAATGCTTTACATATATTGTACAACTGGAGTAATATTCTTAATTCAAGAATAAAATTTAAGAGAATTTTAGAAGCTAGGAATTTTCCTCTCAAAACAAGAATTATTATTGTTTTCGGTGTAATTTTGGAAATTTATGACAATTTATGCTATAATACTATCATTCAGTCAATAAAGTTGAATTTAATTGGAGAAAAAAGGTAATAAATTAATCTACACGAAGAGAGAATATATATTAAATTTTGTAAATAAGTGTTTTTCAAATTGGGGAAAAAGTGCGACAAAGCGAAATTTTGACATAAAAAATACAAAACTAAAAAACTATGTGAAATTTAGTATAATTATATCAAATATCAAGAATATTTATTAAATTCTAATAAAAGTACTAAATTTCACATTTAACTTTTTTTAAAATTTAGTATTTTTTACATCAAAATTTTGCTGTGTCACATTTTTTTCCCAAATTTGTAAAATACTTTTACAAAATTTAATAAATATTCTCTCTCCGTGTGCTGACTCTATTTAACCCGTTGACTGTCGCTGACGCATATATGCGCAAAACAAAACTGGCCAAAAGTGTTTCATGACGCATATATGCGCAACTTAAAAAAAGTGATTAAAAACTTCTTAAATATTCCTGAAACCGGTTACTCGGGGGTTTTCGAGGTCGCTGATTACGAATATGACGTTCGTTTTCCAAAATTCAAAATGGCGGATCCAATATGGCGGACAACAAAATAAAAAACTGATCAGATTGACTTGAAACGTAGTACTCGTGGGTTTTTGGGGTCGCTGATTTCGAATCTGACATCAGTTTTTCAAAATTCAAAATGGCGGATCCAAGATGGCGGAATTTTTCCAAAATTCGTCAAATTTGATTGAAACTTGTTACTCGGGGGTTTTAAGGGTCGCTGATTACGAATCTAACATTAGTTTTCCAAAATTCAAAATGGCGGACAACGAAATAAAAAATTGATCAGATTGGCTTGAAACTGAATACTCGGGGGTTATTAGGGTCGCTGATTACGAATCTGTCATTATTTTTCTAGGGTATTTATCGAAATTCGATTTCACCAAAAATTATCATACTGATGTCATATTAACCAGTTTCAAACAAATTCAATAAATTTTAACAAATTTTCCGCCCTATTGAACCAGATATTTTGAATTTTGAAAAACTGATTTCAAATTCGTAATCAGCGACCCTAAATACCCCCGAATATTCAGTTTCAATCTATTATAAATAATTTTTTATTTTGTCGTCCGCCATATTGGATCCGCCATTTTGAATTTTAGAAAACTAATGTTAGATTCGTAATCAGCGACCCTTAAAACCCCCGAGTAACAAGTTTCAAGCAAATTCGACGAATTTTGAAAAAATTTCCGCCATCTTGGATCCGCCATTTTGAATTTTTAAAAACTGATGTCAGATTCGTGATCAGCGACCCCAGAAACCTTAGGGTACCAAGTTTCATAAAAATCCATTAAAATTTTTTTCAACACACTTTTGGCCCAAACAGTGGAAATCTCGTTGACAGCCAAGGGGTTAAGAAATTGATTCACTGTAGCAATAAAAACGTAATATTGTGGATGTAAATAAATAATTTGAATTGAGATATTTTTTATCGATAAACAGTAGTAATAGACGATTATAGTCAGACAAAAGTGGTTAAAACATTTCTTTGGAATTTTCTCCATGTTTCGAATGAAATATTCCAGGAATGTGAAAGGAATATTCCCCGCTATATTGGATACGTATTTTTAGAAAAAAAATTTATAAAACTTAAGAAAGATCACAGTTTTTTTTAAGATATCAAATTGAGACAAAAAAAAAAAAAGAATCAAAAGTGTTGCGAAGCAACATTTTGATTCTTTTTTTTGTCTCAATGTTGAAATCAACATTTTGATTCTTGTTTTCGTCTCAATGTTGAAATCAATATTTTGATTCGTTTTTTGTCTCAATTTGATTAGAAAATTAAATTAAAATAGAAAAATTGATTTTTCCAAACGCAAAATTTGATATTAAATTTCTTTTTTCAGTTGCGAGCTTAAAGAAGAGAGGAAAAATTTTACCCGCATTGGATGATCTTTTATATATTTCGCCAGACGACAAAAAAGGAAGAATGGAAGCGGAGTTCTGAATTTTATCTTTGATGAAAAGGAGATGAGTCTCAGGTGCTCTTATGATTGTCTAAACGAGCTTTTCGGAAGAACTTAAAACGTATCTATATATATATTATAAAAAGGAGGGTGTACTGGAATAAGACGCAAGAAAAAAACGGAATGATGGCTTAGCGGGAGTGATGAGAGAATGAGAGAGAGAGAGAGAGAGAGGAGAGAGGGAATATAAGAGGAAAAGGGGATGGCGCGCCATCTAAATATGCTAATACCTTCGACGCAGGATAATGAGTTCTTCGTTCCACCGTGATCCAGCGAACTGCTATGCATGTATATTCAGCTATAAACACGACTCAAGATCGCTATACTCAACGTACATGTATATATATATACTCGTATATATACTTCGTTTTGCCGCCAGGCACGTGACATATTCCATCGACATTATGCGCAACGGTATCAAAATACCAAATCTAATACCCTCGAAACCATAATATTTGAAGAAGCGAGTCCACTTTACCGAAATACAACCAGGTCTTATATCAAAATTTACCCTGTTTTATTAAAATCTTAGTTGTGGTTAATGCACTTTAAGGGGGGAATTCTTTAAACCCAGGGTTGCCACAGAAAATTAATTTTCTTTTTCCCTCATTTCCAGACAAAATTTTGACTTTTTCCCTGACCCTATAAAGAATATTCTGATTCACGTTAAAAATTATTAGATACTCGAAAAAATATTCTTACAGGGTGGCCACATTTCAGTAAAATCAGTAAAGTCGGGGAAATGTCAGTGAAACAAAATTTTTATCAGTAAAGTTAGGGAAACAAAATTTTTGTCAGTAAAGTTAGGGAAACAAATTTTTTGTCAGTAAAGTCAGGGAAAAAATTTTTCTCAATGAAATTAAGTATAAATTGAGAATTATTTCGACTTATTTTCAAAGATTGCGACTTTTTCGACTTCTCTTCCAAACATTGCAACAAAATACAACAATTTTTAGTATACTTAAAAAAGTGCAACTTATTTTGATTTTTACAATGCGAAAAATAACTATAAACCAAAAATTTTTTGTGAATCATTTTTTAATGTATTTAAATTTTTCAAAATATTTCTATAATAAAAACCTTTTTGAGTATAGTTGAAATTTTGTAAAATTTAATTGAAAATAATTAATTTATTTCATTTTCATTTTTCATATAGGATTTCAATTATTTTCAATACAATTTTAAATGAATTCCTCGAAAAATTTAATTATTTTCAAAAAAAATTTCTATAATAAAAATCTTTTTGAGTATAGTTGAAATTTCGTAAAATTTAATTGAATATAATTAATTTATTTCGAGCATTTATTTACAATTTTTGAAGAATTTTAATTGAAAATTTTGAAAATAATTGAAACATCAAACATTTTAATGGAAAATCATTTGAAAATGAAAATTAATGAAAATTAGCTTCTTATTTTTTGAAATTCAATATTTTTAACATTTAGAAGAGAATAAAGTTCAAAATTTTTAATTAAAATTAAAAAAAAATAACTTAGTTTTTATAAATTATATACAAAATTTTTCTTTAAGAAATTCAATTATTTTCGAAAAATTACCTATATTAAAATATTTTTAAAAAGTAATTATTAGAATTGTTTTACAATATTTTTTTAAAATTCAATTATCTTCGAACAATGTAAATAAAAATTTATGAAAATTTACTTTTCTAAAATTTGATCATTTTTATTTATATTTTTCAAAAATTCAATTATTTTTAATAGATTTTACCAAATTTTAATTGTTTGGAAATTTTTCAAAATTCAAAAACTATTATATTTATATAATTACAATAATTATAAAAAATTGAGTTTTTGCATTTATTGACGAATTTTTTTATTTTAAAATTATTTGAAATCATCAATAAATTCTTTTTTAAATAAATATTTAATCATTATTATTACTCCATGGGAACTAAGATTTTAAAAAAATTTCAAATTCAAACATTTTTGCAATTCAACAACTTATAAGAATATTATTGGAAAACATGAAGATATCGATTACTCCGAGTCCTTGATATCTTAATGTTTTCTAATAATTTAAATTTCCATAAAATTTTTTAAACAAAAAATTAAATTATTTACAAAAATTTTAATAAAATCCTCCGCAAGAATTCATTATTTTCATAAATAATACAATTGTTCATAGGATTTCAATTATTTTCAATACAATTTTAAATAAATTCCTCAAAAAATGTAATTATTTTCAAAAAATTTTTGCAAGAATTCAATTACATTTCACAAATAATGAAATTCTTTGCTGAAATTCAAATATTTTCCAAATCTGCAAATTCAAAAGAATTCAATTATTTCAAAAAAAGTAATAAAAATTCGTTGCAAGAATTCAGTTATTCATAAATAATAAAATTCTTCACAGGATTTCAATTATTTGAAAAAAATGTAATAAAATTCGTTGCAACAATTCAATTATATTTTCATAAATATTCTAAAATATAAATTGGATCCCAGTCGATTTTTTTTTAAACTACGTAGAAAAGCAGTTTTTTGGTGTCAGGAAAAAGATTCCCAATTGAAAAATAAAAAAAAAATTGACTGGGATCCAATTTGTATGTATTTTGTGCGTGGTCCTTTATAAAAAATTGGTAAATAGCTGAATTCCTGTGAAATTTTTATTATATATGAAAATAATTTAATGTTTGCTTAGAATTTTATCAAAAATTTTTTTTAAATAAGAATTCTTTTGAAAAATTTTATTAAAACAATAGATATTGAAAATCATTGAAGTGAGGAAAATTTTTTGAAAATAATTAAATTTTTGAGAAGTATTTTATTAATTTTAATTAATATTTAATAATTGAAATTTGGACGAGAGTCTTTTTTAAATTTTTGAATATAATTGAATTTCTGCGAAGAATTTTATTACCTTTTAAAATAATTTTTCAAAATTCAATTTTTTCCAGTACTTTAATAAAAATCCCTGACTTTTTCCTGATTTTCCTGATCATTTCTACTCTCCCTGATTTTTCCCTTAATTCCCTGATTTTTTTTTACCTATGGCAACTCTGAAACTGTGCAATAATTATTTTAAAAGAATTGATTTTTATTCACATTTGTCAACGATGTTTTTTTTCTTCTTGCGTTGCGAAACTTTTAAGAAAATTTGAAAACTCTAAGGAATTTCTATTTTTTTAATTCTGTTTAACCCCATTAGGTCAGGATTAGGACATAACTTCGAAAAAACCCCAAAAATTTTGAAATGAAGATAATTTCTTATCACTAAGTCTTATTATGACTACTTTATGTTTTTTTTGGGTTGATAAAGCTGAATCTAAAGTTTATTTAAATCAGAATTTTTAGAATTACATAAAAAGAATTTATAATTTGATCAAAAAATTTTGAAATGAAGGCAGGCTGTTAACATAACATTGAAAAAAAAACCCAAAATTTAAAAATCGTGAAAAATAATCTTTAAGTCTTCCTATGACTACTTTATGATTTTTGGGATCGTTGAAGCCGTATCTGAAGTCTATTTAACCCAAAAAACAAAAAGCAATCATGGTGAGATTTATATAGAGCAAAAACTCTTGATATTTAAATTTTTATCATTTTTTGAGATTATATTAAAAACCTAAGGTGTTATGATTAAATAGACTTCAGATTCAGCTTTAGCGACAAAAAAATAAAGTACAGTCTGGCTAATACAAATCAGAATTCTTCTTGATTTTAAAAGCCTTATTTTGGTTTTTATTTTTTGAAGTTATGTGAAAATCCCGACCTGATGGGTTTAAATATAGACTTTGAGTTAAAAAACTTATTAAAATTAAGTAAACAGTAATTAATTTTTTGTAGTTCGAAAGTAAAATTTATTTCGAAGGGTTTTATATGCGTATATACAATATTATTATGTACACTGTTTGTTATTCTTTGATGTTAGTAAAAAGAGTATTTTATATGCATGAAGGAAACATTATATGAAATGTGATATCAAAGAATTCTTCATGGTGTGTAAATAAACGGTAGATTAAAGTAAGTGGATATAGAAATTTTATGAAGCAGTAATACCTGAAATGCACTTTGCGATGAGTATAACTATAATTGTTCAATTACTATGAAAGTAATTTATACACCGATACGCTGAAAAAATTCATTTTCAAAGGATATTATATATATACGCACCGTCATGCGTAATTAAAGAAAGTATGTAATAGGTATATAATAATTAAGATTGTTAATGTTAGATATACAAATTATACAATATGTATACATTGTAAGGAACTTACAGATTTCGATCTGGAAATAGGTTATTGAAATATTCGATTTGGACTTTCATTTTTCTTTTCACTTTGACTGTGAATTTCGATTCGATTTTAACTTTTATTTTCACTTCGATTTGGACTTTGACTTTCGATTCGATTTCGACTTTGACTTTTATTTTCACTGTAAACTTTGATTTTGACTTTGACTTTCCATTTGATTTTGACTCTGATTTTTATTTTCAATCTAACTTTGACTTTGACTGCTGTACAATTTAGGAGTCACTGAAGCTGAATCTGAAGTCTATATTGAACCCCATCATGTCAGGCTTTTGACATAACATTGAAGAAATAGTGAAAAATTCTAATCTCTATTTTTTGCAATGACTGCTTTATGATTGAAGCCATATCTGTCCATTTAACCCAAAAAACATAAAGCATCTAATCATAGTGAGACTTATAGATAAAAAATTGTCTTGATTTCAAAATTTTTGGCATTTTTTTGAAGTTATGTTAAAAACCTATAACATGATGCAGTTAAACAGACTTCAGACTCGGCTTCAGCGACCCCAAAAACAAATAGCAATCAAGACAAGACTTAGAGATTAGAATTTTCCTTAATTGCAAAACTTTATAGGTTCACAGTTTGGGTTTTTTTTTGCGGTTACGTCAAAATCCTGACCTAATGGGGTTAAATAGACTCCAGGGACATAGGTTCAGAGTAAATTTCTGTAAAAATAAATACCCTCGAACAAATAACAAAATTTACTCTGTGAAATTTGCGAAATGTGATTAAAGTCGAGAAGCTCATTATAATTTGCGAGTTTCTGTAAGTAAGAGAAGATTTTAGAGAAGGTTTTAGAGAAAGGTTACACATCCATGTAACATCGTATACGAGTGTTACATTCCTCGGGTGATAATGTATAGTATGTGCGGGTGTGTCTTGTATGTACCCGGAATTGTCTTGGTTGTCTATGTAAATGAAGGTCCTATATATACACTGTACATGACTACATGTAAATGGAGAGCAGCTATCACGAGAGAAAGACAGAGAGAGGAAGTAAAAGAGAGGGTTTAGGATGCTTCATGGAAGAAAGGGAAGTAAAGGGAGGAACGAAGCAGTAGCGAGGGAAAAGGGGTTTCGTAAGTAATTAAGGAAGCTCATCCTGAGAGACAATTTAGCTTAATGAGAGGCAGCCAGTTCCTTCCAAGCCCTTATATTCTGTGTGACCCCTTCTCTCCCTCCCTCCTCCTAACCTTCCCTTCTTCACTCTTTGTCCCGCCTTCCATCATTCCTTGGAAAAGAGGAAAGAGAATTCCCCTTTCCATCGATCCGCTTAAGAAAAGTTTCTCTTCTACACACACATATACAAATACACGAGACTCATACCAGAAAGAATTGGATTTCCACGAAAACTTGGAACGTAAACTCGTTTCGGATGGGATTCTATTTTGAGAAAGAGAGTGAGAGAGAGAGAGAGGGAGGGAATCACTCTCGGCATAGGGAGACACCATTTTTCTTTCGGGGGTTGATTACGTAAATTCCGCAAATTTCAGCGGCGAGAAAATGCTCTGAATTTAGAAAACTTTTCGTCTCTGGGAGTTATAAAATTTAGAAGAGCTTAGAAGGTATTTTTCTATTAAAAATTGACGCAATTATTTTCTTCTTAGAAAAATTCGGTTTGGTTATTTTTTTGATTTGTTTTTTGCCTTGTAGTTGCTATTTTTATTGTTGCTATTGATGTTTCTAT